TGCTCCAACAATTCGCCATTGGAAGGGTATCAAAGATGTATTGCGATACCTTCGTGGGACAATAGACATGGGTCTCTTCTACTCAAAGAACTCCACAGATGACCAGGTCCTTGTTGGATATGCAGATGCTGGCTTCCTCTCTGATCCGCATAAAGCCCGCTCACAAACTGGATATGTGTTTAAGAATGGAGATACAGCAATCTCATGGCGCTCAACCAAGCAAACATTAGTTGCTACATCTTCAAATCATTCAGAAATACTTGCTTTACATGAAGCAAGTCGTGAATGTTCTTGGTTAAGATCAATGATTCATCATATCCGGAATTCATGTGGTCTAACTTCGAAGACAGACAATCCAACTGTTATCCATGAAGATAATGCAGCCTGTGTTGCCCAAATGAAGGAAGGATTCATCAAGGGCGATAAGACTAAACACATATCTCCAAAGTTTTTCAGTGCTCATGAGCTTCAGAAGGCTAAAGTTATTGAAGTCAGACAAATCCGTTCAAATGAAAATCTGGCAGACTTGTTCACCAAATCTCTACCAAAGTGCACATTTCAGAAGTTAGTGCAAGGCATCGGATTACGTCGACTTACCAAACAGCTAAATTTGGAAAATGCGGAATCAGGGGGAGAAACATATCAGGGGGAGTATCCATGATACATGCTTGTTGTACTCTTTTTCCTTCGATTAGGATTTTTCCCACTGAGTTTTTCCTATCAAGGTTTTAACGAGGCAACATAAGCATACTTGACACTATATCAACGATCTAGGAAAAGTTGTACTCTTTTTCCTTCGCTATGGTTTTTTCCCACTGGGTTTTTTCAAGCAAGGTTTTAACGAGGCAACTCATGTTGATATGTGGGCATCCAAGGGGGAGTGTTGAAAAGTCTCAAACTTCTGTTGGCAATGAATGCCCACAAAGCTAAAGTCATCTGCATAGGCAAAGTTTTCAATGCCCATGCTGAATGAAAGTGTCAGAGGTACATTTTAAATTTCAAGATGCATTAACTGCATCAGTTCGAGTTGCTCTATAAATAGAGCACTCCGCATGTAACAGATGATAGATGAAGAAGAAATACAAGAGAAAAATATCAATAACATCATATATTCCTCTGCCTTTTATTATCTGTCTGTGCTATAATTTTTGTGTGGCATTTTACATCTACCTTGCACCTACCACTTAAAAGGTTATCTCTCAAACTTTAACCCTTTTATAACAATTTGGTTGTTCTTTTTTATTTTTTGTTTTTATGAATTGTGAGAATCTGCGGTGCTCCATCTCAACACGCTAGAGTGCTTTATTTGTTTCTTTATTTCTCGAAAAGAGTACCATGGACGCTGGATTCCGTAGATTTCCCGGGAAAGATACTATTCCTGGGTGTGCATAGAGGAAACTGGATTTTGGGGACACCCAAAAATTGCTTAGACAAGTTTCTTTCTTTCCATCAGATTCTGACAACACTTGTCCTTGATCGAATCTGAACCGTCGGATTGGAATTGGATTTGTACCTTGTGCGCAATAATAACGAGATTAGTTATTCTTCAAGTTCCCAAGCAACCGTGTATGGAAAAGAAGGCTGCGTAATCAGACGGTTGCTTGTTTTTTAGCCAAAAATCGAAGGGACAGAGTTGGAGTTGGAAAACTCTGGTCCGGATCGGACCCTTACAGAAGCTGTCATCTTTCAAGACTATCAATTAATGCGTTTCCGAGTTTTCATCACATCTTTGCTACGACATTCCTCAGTTCACATCATGCATCGCATGGAATCAACTCATACGAAGCTCCATTCCAAAACCAATTTTCTTCAGCGGTTTAGGATTACAAAGTTGACTAAAAAATAAAAGGTGAAAATTGATTTTAAAAAATCGAATGGTTATAATTGTTTAAAAGTTGACTATTTGATAGGTGGGATTACCGAAAACAAACCATTCTAAAAATATGACTGAACAAGGGGTTTACATTAGAGTTTGTATGCGGTCTGATTTGATTTGATTTATTTTACTTTAAGTTAATGAACAAACCAAACAACTATTAAGTGATATGTTTTGGTTCGTTTAGGAAAATTCAGGCTATGTTCGATTCAAGTGGTTTAGAGGGTTGAGCTCAATAATCCTTTATTGTTTTTTTAAGTGATTTAGCCTAAATACAATACAGGGCTCTGGGAATACTTTTTGCACACTAATTTTTCCACCTCAAACACATTTCTCACTCTATTCTTTTTCTAACTATTGAAATGAAAGGAGAATCAACAGTTAAAACTAAAAGGAGTGGGTAGAAAATGAAAAAGTACTTGCAGAAATTTCTTCCCTTACAACTCATCCATTTAACCGTGCATGGTATTGTTTTTTAAAGCATAACTTGCATGCACATGCTTCACGTTTGTCTGGTTTTACAACCCTTTCATGTATATGTCAAATTAATAAAATTCTCGATCCGTTCATTAATACATGATTAAAAATCTTAACGTAATCGAGAATCTTACTAACTCGACACAGTAAACGCAGAATGTGTGCAGATAAAAAGGACTCTTATAATGTATATCTGAAACAATGATGCCTTATCTACAGTTTGTGTTGGTCCCTAGCTGGTTCAGAAAATTAATATGTTAGAGCCCTTTCAAACATACAATAATACATGAAAGAATACACTGAATAGTAACGAAACTTTAGTCACACTGAATAGTAACGAAACTTTAGTCACAGGTGAAGAAGTCTGAAGGAAATTGTGGAACAAGTGCTAAACAAACTGTAACCCCGTGAAAACTGGCAGCTTCCAAAATCCAAAAGCATCTGAGAATCGAGAGGAGTTTCTGCGTGTTGAGTGGTGACCATATTCATTCACTTCTCACATAATTTGTATATCATCAGTACGACGCACACTGATGGCAAGAACTATTACTCACCTTCTCTCATCTCATGGATACTTCGAATTATGAATACACACACACACACACACACACACACACACATATATATATATATATTATGCAGCCTAGCTAGTTCTGGTTCCAAACTTCAAACAAATCTCATATCTCTGAATTGCATCACGTCGATCGCATGGATACGATTAATTTGTCCAATGACATTACAAGAAATTTAATCTTATACCTTCCGTTGATCACAGTAGGATTATAAATCACAGCCGGTTGGGTGGGTTTTTAATCTATTGCCAAAAGAAAAGAAAAAAAAAAATTTAAAACTAATGTGCTTAATTCTCTTACAACAAATTATTTCAGTGAAAAGCACTTCAAAGATCAAACTATAAAAAATTATATTATTTGTCAACTGTTAATTTGGATGTAATGATAGTCAAGTACATTAACATTTGAGTTCGAAAAAATTCTATCCTCTCCAAAACGGTGTTTTTAAGTATTTTGACTATGAAAAAGGAGTTTTGAGATAAAAATTTTCTTTTCGGTTACAATAGTTTTGAGAACTTACTATATGATACAAAAAAATGATATAATATATATATGTGTGTGTATTCACCATCAACACTTATGAACACTTGTTCACCGTTGCTTTTGGAACCAACATGAAAGATAGATTGGCTTGGGGAGTGTCACGCGGTATGATTGAGTACACGATTCCACCGCACCATGCTTTTGCATCACCCATAACTTGTGATATGTAACATGCAAGTAAATATATACTGGGGTATTACTTGTTACTTAGTCACTAAATCATTGATTGGTTTGAGACGAATGGATGATTAAAAGATTTTCAAATTGAATGATTTTTGCATATATGATCTTTAGATGATTATAAAGAGAATGAACAGTTCTGATTATGATACTTACTTGGTTAAGATACGTTAATCGTAATTGAAAGGACAAGTAGGTTTTCCAATGGGAGGAATACAAGCATTATTCTTTGCACATTGAATCGCCTTTGATCCAAAAGAAAAATTCTTTAACTAGTGTATTTCCCTAACAACCATTTATCTTAGTGATATTTAGCATCGGTACACTTGTGCATTATCTAAGTTACATTTTTTAAATAAAAAAACTAATACAAGCAGAAGAAAGCCCAAAAGATAGTCCACAACCTCAACATAAAAAAGAAAATATAATAGAAAGCCCAAAAGGACCCAACTTAGAAACAACCAAAAAACTCTAAAAATGGAGAGGAAACCAGCAGCCGGCACCAAGTCAGCCAATGTGCCTCCATCACAAGGCTACCGCCACCAGGAGAATGAACCAAACGAAACAATTGGATCAACGAAAAATGAAGGTGAGTGAGTCAACCGCACAATGAACGCTCCCATAATCCTACCAAATAGTGCTAATTGCACTTTAACAGCCACTCAAAACCCAAGGGTACCGTCGAGGAGAAGCACCCGAGCCGAGTAGCAGCGGTTGGTAGTTAAGGATACACAACGAAAAGAAGAATTGGAAAAAGAGAAGTGCATAAAAGACCCCGATCTGAGACAAATTCAGGAAAATTGAGACAAAACCCAAGGAATTGAGACAGAGCTCAGGACAATCAATCCAAAACGAATAGTTGTATTAAAGTAAAACTCACCATTTACACCGAATCATCACTCAACTGTCTCTCTTTCTCATTCCGTTTCCTATGTTTCTCGTCTGCAATTTTCCTTTTTCTATCTCATCTGACAAACCTAAAGTGCCGCTTCATTTTTTTTCCCTGAAATAAATCTGCCCAAACGGAATTTAAGAAAAAAATCTGGAGTCTGAAAGCTTTTTCAAGTTTATTGGATAATTTCGGAAAAAGAGATAAAGCACACCAAATTAAGTTTTATCTCCATATATAAGTTTTGTTGCAAAGAGAGATAAGATTAAAAAAAGGAAGGGTGAGATAGATGAACTGAAAAAATAGGGAGGAAGACGATCTGATGTCATTATTTATGGGATTATCCATGACTATTCAATGGTTTGGACTATAATCTAATGGAGGCCATAATTTATTCATAGGTTTATGGGATTTCAGGTTTGATTGTTATTAAAATGGTCTTTTAAGATTGACACAACTCATTAGTTTGGTCCTTGATGTTGAAAACCAACGGAATTGATCCCTAAGTTTGTGCATTGATTGGACAAAGATACCCTCAATTTAACCGAAAATTTTCAAGCAATGACCAAAATGATTGACGGTGGACACACTCAAGAACAACTTATATTGATTTTCAATCTCAATGAACAAAGTGAGGAGTTATGCCAGTCTCAAAGACTATTTTTTACTAAAAAAAACCTATGATATAATGGGAACAATCGCACCTGATTGAGGAGGACAAGCAAACTGAGGGAGGGAGAGACGGGTGAGTGATACTGTGTAAATGGTTTAATACAATTACGTTGACGCGGACAAATTGAAATTCAGTAAATTAATCTAATGGTTGAAATCGTGCTGAATGCGAATAAATGTGTCAAAGTTAAATGTAGAGACTCATGATTCTTTACGGAAAAAAAAAAAACACTTCAGAAATCAAACTATTAAAAAAAAAAAAATCCATCATCTATCATTTAGTAAGAATAAGCATTAAATTAGTCCAGTAAGACAAGACTTTCTACAAAAGCATGCATGGATTTGCATTTTCCCTCTCCTTCTCCAGAATATTTAACTCGTTTGGTCTTAAAATCCACCGTTACCAGTCTTATACTATTCTTACTCCTCATGTGGAAGACTTTTTCTCCATTGCCTTTAGAACCAACATAAGCAACATGGAAGATTAAAGGGACTGATACAGGGCCCTCGGACAGCACCACGCGGGATGATTTAGTCCACGATTCCACCACACCATATTGTTGCATCACCCATAAACTGAGGTTGCAAGTATTTACTCGTGGTCTCGAGTAATGCCAAGGAATCTGAACCAAGGCGAGGGAATTCCCGTGTTCCGAAAGAACAAAATGAGAGGCACCACGGAGCAACCTTTTTCTCGTCGATGATTTCGGCAACTCAATCTCGCTGAACGATTCAGTGGCCATATCAAACGACGCAATGACATCATTGTTGCGGTCTTGGTCGCGGCGTAGGATCCAATGCACGGCACCATGGACGAAAACAGTGTTATGATGCCAACGTTGAAGAGAAACAGCAGAAGAAGCTGGTGGAGGAGGGCTGAGAGCCTTCCAGGAGCCCCTGGCTAAGGAGTAAACCTTGACTTCGATTGGGGTGTCCCCGGCAGGACCACTAGAACGATCACGAGCATTCCTAAAAATTGTTAGAACCTTATAGTCATTGGTGCTCAAATCGTAGCCAAACGCATAAGTACGTACAACCCGTTTATACGTGCAAGGAGGGGGCAAAGTCACAAACTTTCTAACCGAAGGGTTCCAAATTATTATGGGGAATTTAGGGATGTCAGTAGCAAAGCATATGAGGCCGTTGGAAGTCCCAACCAGACCGTAACGTGAAGGAGGCACTTTGCTTCTTCCTCCTTTGTAAGCCGGTTGGTAAGTCAAGGGGGTTATTTTCTTGGTATTGGTAGCGTTAATGCTGAAGGAAGAAGCAGAAGCAGAAGCAGGCTTATCCCAATACAACAAATAATCATTAAAGGACCATACTAGATGGAGACGACCAATATCATTGTCGTCGGCATTTGGATTTTGGCTGTGGCGGAGATGGGCGGCAATGAAGGATGAGCTTTGGATCATATATCTCCATGACTTGCTTACGGCGCAGCATTTAACTAAAGATTTGACGGACGACCTCAACAGGATTTCACGCACGATTTCTTCGGGTAAGTCGCAGCAGTACTGAAATTCCTCTTGGGGTATGATGCGGGTGGTTTTTACATCAGGTGGATATTGAAAGGCGGCATAGGAGGTGGTGGTCTTAGGGTTCTCCTCTAGGACAGAGAACCGGCGACGAGGATCACTTGGAGCCTCCTCCACCGAAGAAGATGACGACAACTTCCCCTCCTCCAAGGGAGGGCGTGATGGTGAATTGATGTTGGCGGCGCTTCCAAGAGAAGAGGTGGACATGTTTGGTTTGCTGGAACTGAGAGTTGTCGAATGGTATACCACCAAAAGTTCCTTCCCCTTGGTGTTTATATATATGTGTGTGTACGTCGACAAGGAGTATTCGACTAGGAATCCAAAACCACAACGACATATTTCTAATCCAAACTGTAGGACATATCGGATTTCTAAGACTTATCTCCAATTAAATCTAAAGCTGGAAATCCTAAAATTTAGTCTCCTATTTTCAATTATTCATCTACGCGTATGAGGTTTTCAGTTTTTTCTTCCAATGAAGAGACCTATAATTCACACCCCTACTTTATAATTTATTGAATTTTTGTATGTCTATAAATTTTTATTCTAACAATTTTAGAATTAATGTTTGTATAATCTTGTTTTATTTCTTATGAACATTGTGATGTAAAAAAATCAAAATTAAAAAAAAAAAATTAGAGTTGGATCACTGGATTGCATATCACAATATCTATGATGTGGACACAAATAAAATTGACATTACATAAAATTCTTAACATTACATGAATAACAAAGAGATTACACAAGAATACTTCAAGCATGTTGTTCCAATAAAAATACTAAAAACAAGAAGAAAGCCAATCGGAATTTCTAACGCTCTCTTTGTCTACCAGAGGAGCTAAATTTAAAAGACGAATGAAATGATCAAAGAAATTGATAGTGAAATATAGAGGTAGAGAAAAATACCAAAAATATCGAAACTGACCAAAATCAAACTGAAGGAATACCCAATCGAAAATATTGAATTATTCAGTACTCGAAACCGAAATTTTCGGTACGAGAATCGGTTCGAAATGTGGGTTTATTCGGTAGACTAACTCGAACCGAATTAATTATAAATAAAATTTAATTTAAAATGTATAATATATAAAATTCTAAATTATTAGTGTTGTCGGTTTGGTTGAGATTTAATCTCAACCGTGGAATTAACATCAAGTCACTCTCTCGATCAACCTCACTTCAGTACTTCAGATCTTCAGTCCTCTTTCCCGATTTATGCCACCTGATCTTGACTCCGGCAACACTTAGTCTCTCCCGACATCTCTCTCCGACTTTCCCTCTTGATTGAGTCTCGCTCAAAGCAAGAAATTTTCACTTTAATAAGATTCTCACTCTATTCTTTTTCTAACTATTGAAATGAAAGGAGAATCAACGGTTAAAACTAAAATGAGTGGATAGAAAATGAAAAAGTACTTGCAGAAATTTCTTCCCTTACAACTCATCTATTTAACCGTGCATGGTATTGTTTTTTAAAGCATAACTTGCATGCACATGCTTCACGTATATGTCAAATTAATAAAATTCTCGATCCGTTCATTAATACATGATTAAAAATCTTAACGTAATCGAGAATCTTACTAACTTGACACAGTAAACGCAGAATGTGTACAGATAAAAAGGACTCTTATAATGTATATCTGAAACAATGATGCCTCATCTACAGTTTGTGTTGGTCCCTAGCTGGTTCAGAAAATTAATATGTTAGAGCCCCTTCAAACATACAATAATACATGAAAGAATACACTGAATAGTAACGAAACTTTAGTCACAGGTGAAGAAGTCTGAAGGAAATTGTGGGAAAAGTGCTAAACAAACTGTAACCCCGTGAAAACTGGCAGCTTCCAAAATCCAAAAGCATCTGAGAATCGAGAGGAGTTTCTGCGTGTTGAGTGGTGACCATATTCATTCACTTCTCACATAATTTGTATATCATCAGTACGACGCACACTGATGGCAAGAACTATTACTCACCTTCTCTCATCTCATGGATACTTCGAATTATGAATATATACATATATAAACATATATATATATATATATATATATATTATGCAGCCTAGCTAGTTCTGGTTCCAAACTTCAAACAAATCTCATATCTCTGAATTGCATCACGTCGATCGCATGGATACGATTAATTTGTCCAATGACATTACAAGAAATTTAATCTTATACCTTCCGTTGATCACAGTAGGATTATAAATCACAGCCGGTTGGGTGGGTTTTTAATCTATTGCCAAAAGAAAAGAAAAAAAAACTTTTAAACTATTGTGCTTAATTCTCTTACAACAAATTATTTCAGTGAAAAGCACTTCAAAGATCAAACTATAAAAAATTATATTATTTGTCAACTGTTAATTTGGATGAGTCAACTGTTAATTTGGATGTAATGATAGTCAAGTACATCAACATTTGAGTTCGAAAAAATTCTATCCTCTCCAAAACGGTGTTTTTAAGTATTTTGACTATGAAAAAGGAGTTTTGAGATAAAAATTTTCTTTTCGGTTACAATAGTTTTGAGAACTTACTATATGATACAAAAAAAATGATATAATATATATATATATATATATATGTGTGTGTGTGTGTGTGTGTGTGTGTATTCACCATCAACACTTATGAACACTTGTTCACCGTTGCTTTTGGAACCAACATGAAAGATAGACTGGCTTGGGGAGCGTCACGCGTTATGATTGAGTACACGATTCGACCGCACCATGCTTTTGCATCACCCATAACTTGTGATATGTAACATGCAAGTAAATATATACTGGGGTATTACTTGTTACTTAGTCACTAAATCATTGATTGGTTTGAGACGAATGGATGATTAAAAGATCTTCAAATTGAAAGATTTTTGCATGTATGATCTTGGTTCTGATTATGATATTTGCTTGGTTAAGATATGTTAATCGTAAGTGAGAAGACAAGTAGGTTTCCCAATGGAAGGAATACAAGCATTATTCTTTGCACATTAAATCGCCTTTGATCCAAAAGAAAAATTCTTTAACTGGTGTATTTCCCTAACAACCATTTATCTTAGTGATATTTAGCATCGGTACACTTGTGCATTAGCAAGATTTCAACCTCCTTTTTTTTCTTTTTTTGTTTTTTGTTTTGTTAAACTAAGTTACATTCTTTAAATAAAAAAACTAATATAAGCAGAAGAAAGTCCAAAAGATAGTCCACAACCTAAATACAAGCTCAACATAACAAAGAAAATATAATAGAAAGCCCAAAAGGACCCAAATTAGAAACAACAAAAAATCCTAAAAATGGAGCGGAAACCAGCAGTCGCCACCAAGTCAGCCAATGTGCCTCCATCACAAGGCCACCACCACCAAGAGAATGAACCAAACGAAACAACTGGATCAACGAAAAATGGAGGTGAGCGAGTCAACTGCACAATGAGCGCTCCCATAATCTTACCAAATAGTACTAATTGCACTTTAACAGCCACTCAAAACCCAAGGGTGCCGTCGAGGAGAAGCATTCGAGCCGAGTAGCAGCTGTTGGTAGTTGAGGATACACGGCGAAAAGAAGAATTGGAAAAAGAGAAGTGCATAAAAGGCCCCGATCTGAGACAAATTCAGGAAAATTGAGACAAAACCCAAAGAATTGAGACAGAGCTCAGGACAATCAATCCAAAACAAATAGTTGTATTAAAGTAAGACTCACCATTTACACCGAATCATCACTCAACCGTCTCTCTTTCACATTCCGTTTCCTATGTTTCTCGTCTGCAATTTTCCTTTTTCTATGTCTCATCTGACAAACCAAAAGTGCCGCTTCATTTTTTTTCCCTGAAATAAATCTGCCCAAACGGAATTTAAGAAAAAAATCTGGAGTCTGAAAGCTTTTTCAAGTTTATTGGATAATTTCGGAAAAAGAGATAAAGCACACCAAATTAAGTTTTATCTCCATATATAATTTTTGTTGCAAAGAGAGATAAGATTAAAAAAAGGAAGGGTGAGATAGATGAACTGAAAAAATAGGAGGAAGACGATCTGATGCCATTATTTATGGGATTATCCATGACTATTCAATGGTTAATATTGGACTATAATCTAATGGAGGCCATAATTTATTCATAGGTTTATGGGATTTCAGGTTTGATTGTTATTAAAATGGTCTTTTAAGATTGACACAACTCATTAGTTTGGTCTTTGATGTTGAAAACCAACGGAATTGGTCCCTAAGTTTGTGCATTGATTGGACAAAGATATTCTCAATTTAACCAAAATTTTCAAGCAATGACCCAAATGATTGACGGTAGACAAACTCAAGAACAACTTATATTGATTTTTAATCTCAATGAACAAAGTGAGGAGTTATGCCAGCTTCAGATACTATTTTTTACAAAAAAAAAAAAAAAAACTATGATATAATGGGAACAATCGCACCTGATTGAGAAGGACAAGCAAACTGAGGGAGGGAGAGACGGGTGAGTGATACTGTGTAAATGGTTTAATACAATTACGTTGACGCGGACGAATTGAAATTCAGTAAATTAATCTAATGGTTGAAATCGTGCTGAATGCGAATCAATGTATCAATGTTAAATGTAGAGACTCGTGATTCTTTACGGAAAAAAAAACACTTCAGAAATCAAACTATTAAAAAAAAAATCCATCATCTATCATTTAGTAAGAATAAGCATTAAATTGGTCCAGTAAGACAAGACTTTCTACAAAAGCATGCATGGATTTGCATTTTCCCTCTCCTTCTCCAGAATATTTAACTCGTTTGGTCTTAAAATCCACCGTTACCAGTCTTATACTATTCTTACTCCTCATGTGGAAGACTTTTTCTCCATTGCCTTTAGAACCAACATAAGCAACATGGAAGATTAAAGGGACTGATACAGGGCCCTCGGACAGCACCACGCGGGATGATTTAGTCCACGATTCCACCACACCATATTGTTGCATCACCCATAAACTGAGGTTGCAAGTATTTACTCGTGGTCTCGAGTAATGCCAAGGAATCTGAACCAAGGCGAGGGAATTCCCGTGTTCCGAAAGAACAAAATGAGAGGCACCACGGAGCAACCTTTTTCTTGTCGATGATTTCGGCAACTCAATCTCGCTGAACGATTCAGTGGCCATATCAAACGACGCAATGACATCATTGTTGCGGTCTTGGTCGCGGCGTAGGATCCAATGCACGGCACCATGGACGAAAACAGTGTTATGATGCCAACGTTGAAGAGAAACAGCAGAAGAAGCTGGTGGAGGAGGGCTGAGAGCCTTCCAGGAGCCCCTGGCTAAGGAGTAAACCTTGACTTCGATTGGGGTGTCCCCGGCAGGACCACTAGAACGATCACGAGCATTCCTAAAAATTGTTAGAACCTTATGGTCATTGGTGCTCAAATCGTAGCCAAACGCATAAGTACGTACAACCCGTTTATACGTGCAAGGAGGGGGCAAAGTCACAAACTTTCTAACCGAAGGGTTCCAAATTATTATGGGGAATTTAGGGATGTCAGTAGCAAAGCATATGAGGCCGTTGGAAGTCCCAACCAGACCGTAACGTGAAGGAGGCACTTTGCTTCTTCCTCCTTTGTAAGCCGGTTGGTAAGTCAAGGGGGTTATTTTCTTGGTATTGGTAGCATTAATGCTGAAGGAAGAAGCAGAAGCAGAAGCAGGCTTATCCCAATACAACAAATAATCATTAAAGGACCATACTAGATGGAGACGACCAATATCATTGTCGTCGGCATTTGGATTTTGGCTGTGGCGGAGATGGGCGGCAATGAAGGATGAGCTTTGGATCATATATCTCCATGACTTGCTTACGGCGCACCATTTAACTAAAGATTTGACGGACGACCTCAACAGGATTTCACGCACGATTTCTTCGGGTAAGTCGCAGCAGTACTGAAATTCCTCTTGGGGTATGATGCGGGTGGTTTTTACATCAGGTGGATATTGAAAGGCGGCATAGGAGGTGGTGGTCTTAGGGTTCTCCTCTAGGACAGAGAACCGGCGACGAGGATCACTTGGAGCCTCCTCCACCGAAGAAGATGACGACAACTTCCCCTCCTCCAAGGGAGGGCGTGATGGTGAATTGATGTTGGTGGCGCTTCCAAGAGAAGAGGTGGACATGTTTGGTTTGCTGGAACTGAGAGTTGTCGAATGGTATGCCAGCAAAAGTTCCTTCCCCTTGGTGTTTATATATATGTGTGTGTACGTCGACAAGGAGTATTCGACTAGGAATCCAAAACCACAACGACATATTTCTAATCCAAACTCTAGGACATATCGGATTTCTAAGAATTATCTCCAATTCAATCTAAGCTGGAAATCCTAAAATTTAGTCTCCTATTTCAATTATTCATCTACACGTGTGAGTTTTTCAGTTTTTTCCTCCAATGACGAGACCTATAATTCACACCCCTACTTTATAATTTATTGAATTTTTGTATGTCTATAAATTTTTATTCTAACAATTTTAGAATTAATGTTTGTATAATCTTGTTTTATTTCTTATGAACATTGTGATGTAAAAAAATCCAAATTAAAAAAAAAAAATTAGAGTTGGATCACTGGATTGCATGTCACAATATCTATGATGTGGACACAAATAAAATTGATATTACATAAAATTCTTAACATTACATGAATAACAAAGAGATTACGCAAGAATACTTCAAGCATGTTGTTCCAATAAAATACTAAAAACAAGAAGGAAGCCAATCGGAATTTCTAACGCTCTCTTTGTCTACCAGATGAGCTAAATTTAAAAGAAGAATGAAATGATCAAAGAAATTGATAGTGAAATATAGTGGTAGAGAAAAATACCAAAAATATCGAAATTGACCAAAACCAAACTGAAGGAATACCCAATCGAAAATATTGAATTATTCATTACTCGAAATCGAAAATTTCGGTACGAGAATCGGTTCGAAATGTGGGTTTATTCGGTAGACTAACTCAAACCAAATTAAATATAAATAAAAATTTAATTTAAAATGTATAATATATAAAATTCTAAATTATTAGTGTTGTCGGTTTGGTTGAGATTTAATCTCAACCGTGGAATTAACATCAAGTCACTCTTTCGATCAACCTCACTTCAGTACTTCAGATCTTCAGTCCTCTTTCCTGATTTCTGCCACCTGATCTTGACTCCGGCAACACTCAGTCTCTCTCTCAACATCTCTCTCCAACTTTCCCTCTTGATTGAGTCTCGCTCAAAGCAAGAAATTTTCACTTTAATTCGTCGAGTTTAATTAGGGTTTCGATTTGGGATTCTAAAATGGGGATTAGGGTTTCTAAAAATTAGGGTTTTATTGGATTAGAGTTTCTAAAATTGGGGTTCTTATATGAGGAATAGGGTTTCGAATTAGGATTGCTGAAATTGAATTTTACACTATGTTTGGGTGAACAAATTTAAGATTACTAAGGAATTTAAAAATGACGGAAATTGAAATGACGAGATTTTATTTTCTAGAATTTGTAAATTTTCTTGTTTGGTTAACTAAAAGAACAATGGAATTGAATACAGAATTTGTTATTTTTAAACTCTCAATCATAGAAATTGAGAAATGACACCTATTTACATGGAATTTGAACTTGGGATTTGGAGGTTCCAAATTCCAAGTTTTTTTTCCATGCGGAAATTCTAAATTTCTATGCTTATGAATCCAAACAAGAGAATTGGTGCCTGTTAATTTATAAATTCTAACTTTTACCAAAATTCTGAAAGGGAAAATTAGAATCCCCTGCATTTTTTCAATACGTTTTAGATCAAACATTGGTTCCTTTCTAAGATTTGATTAAGAGACTTTGACCAATTGTCACATCAACGTTTTTCTATTTTTTAAATTACATATAATTTGTTTAAAGGCATCTTCACTTCACCTTGCAACTAATTGCCTACAATTTAGGAAATTTTATTTTCGCGGTTCTTTAAACTCCTACGTTTTATTGACTCTTGCTATAAAAAAAAAATTAAAGTAATTTAAACTTTTACATTGTTAACGACTCTTTCTATAAAAAAATTAATTAATTAAAGTAAGTCCTCATTATTAGGACAAAAAGTAATAAAACTTATGTTTTGAAAACAAACGTACAAATGTACCAAAAACTAAATGTACCAAAAATTCAAATGTACCAAGAAGCCAAATGGACCAAAAATTCAAATGTACCAAGTAACCAAATGTACCATTATAATCAAACATACCGATATAAACCAAATGTACCTAACAACGAGTTTTGTTACATTCTATTTAATTTACTAAAATAAATATTTTAATAAAAAAATAAAAAAATCTTAAATCATCATAATAAGAGATGCATAAAAATAGGAGGAAAAAAAGGAATGCTAACGTGAATAGACTTCTAATGAAATAAAATTAAGCACCAAAATTGTGGGGAAAATATTTAATCAAATTTGCAAAATGAATAGATGTTTAGTTTATATCATTTAAAAACGAGACGTCTATATCAAAACGCCCCTTTCTGAAATTGGGATTCTTAAATGGTGATTCACATTCCAAATTAGGATTTCTAAAATTGAAGTTTTTAAAATTAGGGTTTTGGGTTTCAAATTAGGTTTTCTGAAATTAGGGTTTTTGAAATTGAATTGGTGTATTTGAAATTGAAATTCAATTGTTTATCTGTATCTTTTATTGAACTTTGTTTGTCATTACCGATCCCGATCCCGATCCCAATTCCGAACTAAAAACTCAAAATAATTTCGATATTACCAAATTTTGAGAAAACCGAAAGTTCGGTTTGGATTCGGTATTTGCCATTCTTTCTTGAACACTTGAAATATGAGAAAACTGAATTTTTTGTTTTATGGATTAGTGAACAAATTAATGGATATTTATAGAATTTTGGAGGAGTTTTATCATTGAATCTAATTTAGATTAATTAATAATATTATTTTGATTGTTGAATTCATATTTGAACCGTTGGATCTTTTTTATTACCATTAAAATTGATTAAACTGGATTTGAGTTTTTTGGATTTAAAAAGTTACCGTTGAAAAAATATTCAAAACTTACCGTTGAACTGTAATGGTCAAGAAATCTGAGCCGCACAACACAGTTACTGTTCGAAAGACCCTAGTTGAACGCGCATTACTAAACCATAAAAAGGAGACGGGCCAAT